TCTCTCTCTGCCCCTCCCCCGTTCATGCTCTGTCTCTCTCTGTCCCAAAAATAAACGTTGAAAAAAAAATTAAAAAAATAAATAAAATAAAATAAAAAATAGAAAGGGAAGGAAGACTTCCAAATATATTCTATAAGGTAAGGCCAGCATTGCCCTGATACCAAAACTAGACAAAGATACCACAAGGAAAGAAAGCTACAGGCCAATATCCATAATGAACACAGATAAAAAAAATCTTTTTAAGGAATTTTACTAGTTTATTTATTTATTTTGAGAGGGAGAGAGAGAGAGAGAGAACAGGTTGTGGAACAGCAGAGAGAAGGAGAGTCAGAATCCCAAGCAGACCCCTTGCCATCAGCACAGAGCCCACTGTGGGGCTTGAACCCACAATTTGTGACATCATGACCTGAGCCGAGATCAAGAGTAACACACTTAACTGACTGCACTACCCAGATGCCCACAGATACAAAAATTCTCAACAAAAGATGGGCAAACTGAATTCAACAACAATAAAAAAAAAAAATGATTCATTGAAACAATCAAGAGGAATTTATTCAGGGGATGCATGAATGATTCAATATTCACAAATCAGTCAGCGTGACATACCACATTAACAAAGGATAAAAATCCTGTTAAAAATTTTTTTTAAAAAAGGGGCGCCTGGGTGGCTCAGTCGGTTGAGTGTCCGACTTCGGCTCAGCTCATGATCTCGCGCTCCGTGAGTTCGAGCTCCACGTCCAGCTCTGTGCTGACAGCTCAGAGCCTGGAGCCTGCTTCGGATTCTGTGTCTCCCTCTCTCTCTGGCCCTCCCCCCATTCATGCTCTGTCTCTCTCTGTCTCAAAAATAAATAAATGTTAAAAAAAAAAACCACAGGATAAAAATCATATGATCATCTCAATAGATGCAGAACAAGCATTTGACAAAATTCACCATCCATTCAAGACAAAATGTCTCAACACAGTGGGTTTAGGGAGAACACACCTCAATATAGTAGAAGCCAGATATTACAAACCCACAACTAACATCATACTCAGTAGGGAAAAATAGAGCTTTTTCTCTAGATCAGAATCAAAACAAGGATATCTACTCTTGCCCCTGGTATTCAATAAAGTAATGGAAGTCCTAGCCACAGCAATTAGAAAACAATAAATAAAAAGCATCCAAGTTGGTAAGGAAGATGTAAAGCTGTCACTAATTGCAGATGACATGATACTATACATAGAAAACTCTAAAGGCTCCACCAAAAAACTATTAAAACTGATGAATGAATTCAGTAGGGTCACAGAATACAAAATTAACATATATAAATGTGTTGCATTGCTATACACTAATAACAAAGTAGCAGAATGGAAATTAAGCAGACAATTCCAAATGCATCAAAAGGAATACGTAGGAATAAATAATTAGGTGAAAGACCTGTACTCTGAAAACTATAAGATATTAATGAGAGAAATTGAAAACAACACAAACAAATGGAAAGATATACCATGTTAATGCCTGAATATCATTAAAATGTCTATACTATCCAAAGAAATCTACATATTCAATGCAATCCTATTAAAAAAACCAACAGCATTTTGGGGCACCTCGCTAGCTAGGTCAGTTGAGCAGACATCTACTCTTGATTTTGGCGCAGGTCATGATCCCAGGGTCATGGGATGAAACCCTGCATTGGGCTCCATGCTTAGCATATTAAGATTCTTTCTCCCATTGCCCCTTTCCCTTACTCGTACTCTAAAATTAAAACAAACAAACAAAAACAGTATTTTTCATAGAACTAGAGAAATAATACTAAAATTTGTATGGAATCACAAAAGACCCAGAATAACAAAAGCAAACTTATGAAAGAAGAACAAAACTGGAGATATCACAATCCCACATTTCAAGATAGACTATAAAGCTATCCTAATCAAAACAGTATGGGACTGCTACAAAAATAGACATGGATCAATGCATCAGGATGAGAGAAGCCAGAAATAAACCCACACTCGTAAGATCAATTAATCTATAACAAAGGAGGCAAAAGTATACATGGAGAAAAGTTTCTTCAATAAATAGTTTTGGGAAAACTGGACAGCTACATGTAAAAGAATGAAATTGGACCACTTTCTTACATCACACATAAGAAATACACTCAAAATGCATTAAAGATCTAAATGTGAGACCCAAAATCATAAAACTCCTAGAAGAAAACATATGCAGTAATCTCTTAGGCATTGGTCTTAGCCACATATTTTTATGTATGTTTTCTCAGGCAAGGGAAACAAAAGCAAAAATAAACTATTGAGGCTGTAACAAAATAAAAAGCTTTTGCACAGTGAAAGAAACCATCAACAAAATGTAAAGGCAACCAACTTAATGGGAAAATATATTTGCAAATGATATATCCAATAAGGGGTTAATCTCCAAAATATATAAAGAATTTATACAACTCAACACCAAAAAAAATTTTTTGATTAAAAAATGGGTAGAGAACCTGGATAGACAGTTTTCCAAAAAAGACATTACAGATGGTCAACAGACATATGAAAAGATGCTCAACATCACTTATCAACGAAACACAAGTCAAAATCACAATGAAATATCACCTCACACCAGTGATAATGGCTAGTATCAAAAAGTCAAGAAATAATGAGTGTTGACAAGGATGTGGAGAAAAGGGAATCCTTATGCACTACTAGTGGGAATGTAAGTTGGTGCAAACACTATGGAAACTGTATGGAGATTCCTCAAAAATTTTTAAATAGAAATGCCATATGATTCAATAATTCCACTACTGGCTATTTACCCAAAGAATACAAAAACACAAATTCGAAAAGTTACCCCTATGTTTACTGCAGCATTATTTATAATAATAGCCAAGATATGGAAGCAACCCAAGTGTCCACTAATTAATAAAGTAATAAAGAAAATATATATACAATGGAATATCACTCAATCATAAAAAAATAAGACCTTGCCATTTGTGACAACATGGATGGACCTAGAGAATATTATGCTAAATGAAGTAAGTCAGACAGAGAAAGATATATACCATATGATTTCACTTTTGTGTGGAATCTAAAAAAACAAAACAAATATATAAAACAGAAAGAGACCCATATATACAAAGAACAAATTAGTGGTTTCCAGAGAGAAGGTGGGTGTGTGAGCTGGGCAAAACGGATAATGGGGAGCGGGACATACAGGCTTCCAGTTATGGAATGAATAAGGCATGAGAATAAAAGGCACAGCATAGGGAATAGTCAATGGTATTGTAATAGCATTGCATGGTGATACATGTTAGTTAACACTGGTGGTGAGCATAGCATAATGTATAGAACTGTTGAATCACTAGGCTATACACCTGAAGCTAATGTAACATTGTGTCTCATGTATAGTTCAATAAAAAAGAAACTTCTACTTATAAGATAAATAAATCTTGGGGATATAATGTACAGCATGGTAACTACAATTACCCATACTGTATTGAATATTTGAAAGTGGCTAGGAGAGTAGATTTTAAAAGTTCTCCTCACAAACAGAAAACTCTTGTAACTATGTGAGGTTATGAATGTTAACTAAATTTATTTTGGTGATTATTTATCAATATATACATATACAACATTTTTACATACCTTGAACTAATACATTTAATGTTAATATTTCAATAAACTACAAACAACACTATCTCCTAACTATTCAATCCAGAACTCACATCCATTAGGACCAGCTTGCTTATTATGTTGTCATATTTATGCTACCCCTGCTGACATAGATATACTTAATAGAAGTATGTTAGATACCCTGACAAACCTCTGGCAAGACAAATCAAGAGAAGAGGAAAAATAAAAATCAATATTATGAATATAATGGGGGATATAACTAAGCAGTAACAAAACAACTAGTCACTAACAATTTTGAAAACTTAGACAACATGGAAAAGTTTCTTGAGAAAATATATATACCTTATGAGATGGGACTGTAGAAAAAATTAAAATCTTGGATAGTCCTGCAACTATTAAAGATAATGAAGCAGTGGTTAAAAACATTCCCCCAAGAGTGAGGTTAGATAATAAGAGTAGTTCTAAGGATATAGATTTTTCTGGATATCAAGAGAAAAATCAGGCCTAATACATGTCAATAACATCAGAGAACATGTAAAACAGAAAAACAATAGTAAGAATTATAAAAAAATAAAATAATAAAACCTTGAATATGTATATCAGCAAAAGCTATTGCTTTTCTGAAAAGCTCAGGGGGCAATTTGCCTCCCCTGGGCTGCTCACGTGCTGATGTGCCAGGGCTGTTCTCTGGGGAAGAGGCTACCTCCATCAGACTAACCATAAACCACCACTGCTCACAACTTCTGCCAGGAAGGAAGAACACCTTAGTAGGTGGAATTGAATGAAATGAACAAATTGCAATAGAGAAAATAAAGCAACTGAGTGGAAAGGAGGCATTTGTAAAGTTTTGGGAGTGTGAAAGTACTATTACCAAAGATTTCGAGATTTTCTTGGTTTAGGAGAAAAAGAAAGGTATCCCACTTTCCCCATTTTCAGGATATATTACGCAGTAAAACCTTGGCTTGCAGGCCTAATTCATTCTGGAACCATGCTTGTAATCCAAAGCACTCGTATATCAAAGTGAATTTCAAGAACCATTGGCTCAGCTGTGATCATGTGACATTCGGCGTCACATACTACTTGTATTGCAAGACATCACTCATTTATGAAGTTAAAATTAGAAACGTTTGCTCATCTTGCATGACACTCGCAACCCAAGGTTTTACTGTATATATTTTCAAAGCTCCTCCCCACCTTTACTTTCAGTAGGGCTCAATAATTTATTAGACATCATTTTTAGGAAGCAGGATGAAGTTTAGTGACTGAACTAGCTACACAAAGGGAGCTCAAACCTCTTTCTAGGAGTAAATATCTCTTTCTTCAGTAGCAGCACTGCAAAAAGTAACCTCACTGAACCACCTGAACAAACTTCAAAAGGAACTTCAACCACTCACCTGGATACAAGCCAGAGGCTCATTTGTCCAAATCGAATATCCACCAACTAAATATATTCTCTCATTATGGACAGCAACTCCAGATTCATTTTGGCCTAAAGTAAATTGAATGAAAAGAAAAAATAAATCCATTTTCCTTACATGTCTTAATTAACCCTTTTGCCACTGAGGGATACAATTTCCCCCTGTGGCACACTTGTATGCTCCACAGGATTTTCGCAGCAACTAATCACTGCCTCCCAGTACTCAGAGGGAAGAATTAACCACTCCTTCACAGAGAACGAATCTGTGTCAGGTCAGAACCAAGCCAAAACACGTACTAGCCAGCCAGGTTAGTAAATACAGCATTAAATGCAGCAATAATAAGCAATAACAAAATAAGAGTTCTATAGTATGTTGTATGCCATTAACTTACAGTGGTGGAAATAAGGTATATTTTCGAAATGCAAAATACCTCTTGTACCTACAAATGCTTTAAGGCAAGTGCTTACATTTGTAAAGTAACAGCTGCAACCCCAAGAAGCCAATAAAACAGAGCCATGCCCCCACTGTCCCCCAAATGAAGACAAATGACAGAAAAGATTGATAAAGTTACTACCCTCCTTTTTATTTATTTATTTTTTTCCACATACTCAACAGTTTTAAGACTACATTAAAGTTCCCGATCTGGGACCAGCTGGGGTAGTCCCTAGATACTGACACGCCAAAACGATGAAAGGTTCCTCCCCCATTTAAAAAAGAAGACAGAATAACTCACTACCACATATTCTTCCCTGGAGGCTATCAGAGAGTGAGATAGTCTCTTTTTATTGATGGGCTGACACAGGACTGACTGTGGTAATAAATAAGCTGGATCCTATGGCAGACAGAATCGCAGATCCAGGGACCAAGGGGCTGAGGTACTACTATAGCAACTCAGAGAGAGTGAAGTCCTTGTAGGTGGGCCCCAAAGATCATTTTCACAAAAACAAGAGCTCCACGCAAGGCATATAACCCTTTCACATTGGCACTCAGTGTTGCCTCCCCAGCCGTAGCCATGAGTGGTTGAGCATCCACTTGGCATATTAAGATGTCCTCAGGTGTCAGTCCAGACCACCATTTTGGGCTTGTGATTTTCCTATTATTAGAGCAGCCTGGGAAGGACCTGATCCCCTTGGAGGTTTATAATACGAGCCAACAAGGGAAAGAAGGTTTTCAACTCCGTAAAAAAACGTCAGGGGTAAGTTGTTCACAGCTTACCTTTTATTCCCTTTTGAGATGAGGGTCCATACCTAGCGTTACTCTTGATAATGCTTGAAGGGGTATGTGGCCAGAAATACCACCAAACCCCTAGGCACAGAACTGCTCTAAGATTCCATTGTTAGAAGAATATAGCCAGAAACTGTATGTGACAGTAACAAATAATGAAGACTCTAGTCCTGAACTCAAATAAAAGAGGACCAAAAGTGAAAAGGAAAAAAAAAATCGCTTCTGTAAAGAGTTTTTAATTCTCTGGTTCCTCCTAACGATCAAAGTTCCTCTGTGAATACTTATTGACGAGAAAGGACGTGACATACCTCTCTCAGCCAAGCGAGAAGATGCACATAGGTAAGAGAGGCCCTGAGAAACTAGCTCAGTCACCTAATTGAGTGAAATTTTGTGAGATAAATAATGGGCTACCTTTCTGGTTAATAAAAGCAAGGTGTTCTGCCACCATGCACTTGATATTTAGAGATGCGCTGAAGACGTAAAAGAAAACAAGTGTGGCAATTTCTTGAATCTCTGCTTTTCCTGATTTACTTAGTCAAAGGTACTTGCCAGTCAACAGGTTGAAATTACAACGCGTCCACTGGTCGGTGTCTATGTTGTAAGAATCTATATGCCGCACAAGGATCCGGTCATTATTGTAGTCCAGGTCATTGCCTCCAAGAACATAAAGTTTTCTTTGAACAGCAGCCATGGAATGGTAGACCCTTCTCTGCAGCATAGGGCTGCGGCTTATCCATTTATTCTGGGGGAGGGAAAAAAAAAAAAAAAAGAAAGAAAGAAATTCAGGTGGATTCTGTTAACAGGCGACCTCCATGGCAGAAACAGCAGCGCCTCATTAGTAGCCAGGACTCTAATGTGTGTCAATCGCATTCTATTTGTTGCTTACAGATTGAAAGGTAGGAGTGTCTTACCTGAGAGCAAGTGTGGATGAACCATGTATGCCAATTTTATTTTGCAACTTACATAAGGCATTTCCTCCTGCTGCATTTTATAGGTTGCATTTTATAGGGCATTTTTCATTTTATAACGGGAGCCCATGGAAGTTTTCCTGATGGTTTATCACCCAAATGAGAAAACTTACACAAATTGTGGAAGAGTGAAAGCACCTGAGAGGCTCAGCTGGTTAAGTGTCCGACTCTTGATTTTGGGTCAGGTCATGATCTCAGAGTTTGTTGACCTTGGGCTCTGTGCTGATGGTGTGGAACATGCCTGGGATTTTCTCTCTCTCCCTCTCTCTCTCCCCACCCCCACACATACTGTCAATCTCTTGCTCTCAAAAATAAATAAATAAAACATTAAAAAAAAAAAAAAAGAAAGAAAGAAAACAGGCTCTGGATCCAGAATGCCTAAGTTTGTAACCTTTGTGTGACACCAAGCAATTTACTTAACCTCACTGTGCCTGTTTCCTTGTCTTTAAAGTGGGGGGAATCATACCTTACCTGACAAGCTTGTTGTGAGAATTAAATTAGTTAATACTCATGAAACATTTAGAAGAGTGTTGTCACACTTTTAAAAAATTATTGTGATAATAATCCTTGGCCACCCAAGGCCTCTACATAAGCTAGGGTTAGGGTGACTTTGCTGTTCTGTCCAAAATTAAACTTCCAAGATCAATGGAAGAGCTAAGATCTTGTTTCACAACAAAGTTCCACGTGGTCTTTGTATTAGTCCCTTTAACATATTTATAATTAAATCTTCTACCAAACTGGGGAAAGTTATTTCTTGGCACATGTTTGTTTGTTTTGGTAGAAAACCAAGTTTTATACAACTTCAAGAATGGTGAAACCTCAACTATTTGGTCCTGGGTCATGCTAGTAATGCGAAAGACATGATCAACTCCTCTTAAATATGGCTCCTTTCAAAAATCTAATGTAAGGTTCAAAATTAGATGAAAATCAAATACGACCTTAATTTTAAATCTCAACCAAGTAATGAACACGTAAGCAAACCTAACCATTTCCTTTCTACATGAACACTAACCTACAGGAAGAACCCGGATTCCTTTTTTCCAAGAAAAATTTGGATTTTGACTAGAAAAATCATATGATGCTTTGAATATTTAGAATTTCACCAGTTTACAAAGCTGTAAAGGGATAAGCAAAAAAAAAATTATATAAATACTGGTCCATTCACTAAGACCTATCTACCAGGTCATTTCTAATTTCTCTTTTAAAGATATACTTCAAAAAGAATGGTTTGTACAGTTTGCAAGGCTTGCATTTACTTGCTCCCCCTTTTTAAACATGTCCTAAAAATCTCCTTCCAATCAAATGTCATCTTTGATAAAGTAGCCAAACCTTTCTATCAGATGTTCTGCGAAGAAATATCTTCAATACACTTCACATGAGTGGACTTAACTCAAAACTCTGATGATGCTTTCCTCAGGTCCTTTCTATGAGGCAACCTATTCCACTATTAGGAATCAACGTGTGCATTAGTAGTCCGGTCCCCTGCCACAGGACTGTGGACGCCATCTGGTTTATAAAGCCTGCCTGCATCCCCTGATTATATCTTTAGCTTCCTTCACTGCCGTGCCTGCCAGGTGAGCCGCCAACCTCTGCAAAGGCAAAGAAACAGAGAGGCCTAGTGGGGTCATTCCTAATAAGCTAGCATGTGAATACTAATCAGTGGTGGGGAAGCAGAGGTCACCCCAGCCTGCCTGTTGGCAGGTAGCGATGTGCTCTGTGGCAGATGGCAGGCATTATCGACTCTCCACAAAGGCCTAGAAGAGAAATAAGCACCAGGGCTGAATGATAGAGTTATTGAGATTCTGAGCAAGATGCAAGCAGATGTGATGTTTGCCAGTACCCACCGTAAACAATATGCCAGCAGAATTTTTAAAAAGAGTGTGTGTATACAAACATGAAACAGAACTCATTTGAGAAATGTTAACACCTTCTTCCTGTTTAACCATGTGTGCACCAAACTCAAGCAACTGCAATTAATGATCCCTCTTGAGACATCTGGCCCAGGGACATGTGGTCTCTGAAATCTACAGCTTCTAATGACATCAGGAAACACACTTGCAAAGAGAGAAATACCTTCGTTACATTCAGAATCAAATAATGTTGAAATAAAAAGATACCAAGCTGACTGAGGTCATTCAGGACGCACATTTAGTGGCCAATCCTGACCCAGGCTGCCAAAGCTAACCTGTCATTTCATGTTCCGTTATCTCCGGCTGATGAATGTTAAATCCCACGTTCGAATCATTTTGGAATACTGTCATAATCATGAAAAATATTTACATTACCAAAATCACAGACATGGTGAAATTCTGAAAACATTTGCTAAGGCCACAGCGATTTTGGTAGAAGGGAAAGAGAGTAAAAATAGTTCTTCTTTTGGGGACAAAAAAACCACTGAGTGTGTATGATAAGTGGACAGAAGAAGGGACAGACACCATCAAAATGCTTCCAGTTCAGGGGCGCCTGGGTGGCGCAGTCGGTTAAGCGTCCGACTTCAGCCAGGTCACAATCTCGCGGTCCGAGAGTTCGAGCCCCGCGTCGGGCTCTGGGCTGATGGCTCAGAACCTGGAGCCTGTTTCCGATTCTGTGTCTCCCTCTCTCTCTGCCCCTCGCCCGTTCATGCTCTGTCTCTCTCTGTCCCAAAAATAAATAAACGTTGAAAAAAAAAATGCTTCCAGTTCAGGCACCATTTGTTAGATGAAGTACATACACTTTTTTCAGATACTTCTACTTCAGACTTGTCCTAGACACTGCTCTAGGACATTCTGGCTATACGGAGTTAAATAAAAGTTATTATATTAGTTGGGAGTAATGAAACAATAAGTAATAACAATAATGTTCCCCTCTTGGAAGGACATGCTTTCTAAAAGGACATAGCAACAGGACAATCAAAATCCTTTCTTTGGATGCCTCTGAATATGAACAGTCCCTTGAGATAATGGAACTAAAGGGCATTTAACTCATCAACATATTTACCCTTCTTTCTACATTATGCAAAACTCTGAAAGAGTTAAGCATTGTGTATAGCATAAAACTAAAGGAGCTGAAATTTTGTGTGGAAAAAAAAAAAGCAACGGAAAGGCAGTTTATCCAGATGCTTCCGTTTCTCTATACAAGTTTAAGATGCACGTGTGTGTACAGACTTGGCATTTCAACTACTAATTACTGTGGAAATCTTTTAAAATTCATTTTAATTAAGGTAATGAGTTTTTCTTATATGATTCTTACCTGGTTAGGTTCATATACCATTAGCCTGTTCTGATATTGTGCTGTGTTAGTTACTCCACCTGTAATGGATTAACATGTGTTAGAGCTTTCATGAATACGAAATAGGATATTCCAACATAAGAATGAGATACAATTAAAGGAAAATTAGCTACTGCTGAGGATCTGTTTGTATACCCTCGTGGTGAACCCATGACATAATTAAGAAGCTTATTGTTGAAGCAGTTTCATTTTCAAGAAACATTTTAGAAGCAATCCAGTTGAGAGCAAGCAACAAGTATGCTGAGATTACCAAGAGGCTCCAATTCTGACAAGCTGCTCTGCATGGCCAGAATGAGGGGCAAAGTATAGCAGGGAGTGGGAATGAACATAGCACACATAGACAAATCTCTATACAATTTATGCCCAGGACAGAATTACATGGAAAGTTCTTGTCCTTTGGCAATTTTAAAGCTCTAACCTTCTGTATACTAACACACTAATGTCTTGATATCTCTTTGGAAGAACCATATCTAAGAAAAGGCATTACTTATCAAAAGAATTCTAAAGCCAAAGCTGTCCAAAAGAATATGATGAGAGCCACCAATGTGAATCACAGATGTAATTTTAAGTTTTCCAGTAGCCACATTAACAACTAAAAAGAGGGGCACCTGGGTGGCTCAGTCAGTTAAGCTTGGTTTCAGCTCAGGTCATGATCTCATGGTTCATGGGATCAAGCCCCATGTCAGGCTCTGTGCTGACAGCATGAAGCCTGCTTGGGATTCTCTCTCTCTCCCTCTCTCTCTGCCCCTAACTCACTCACACATGCAAGTGTGTGTGCACACTCTCCCCCTCTCAAAATAAATAAACCTTAAAAAAAAAAAAATAGTGATGGGGCGCCTGGGTGGCGCAGTCGGTTAAGCGTCCGACTTCAGCCAGGTCACGATCTCGCGGTCCGTGAGTTCAAGCCCTGCGTCGGGCTCTGGGCTGACAGCTCAGAGCCTGGAGCCTGTTTCGGATTCTGTGTCTCCCTCTCTCTCTGCCCCTCCCCCGTTCATGCTCTGTCTCTCTCTGTCCCAAAAATAAATAAATGTTGAAAAAAAAAATTTAAAAAAAAAAAGAAATAGTGAAAGTAAACTTAATATAAATTTTATTTAACTCAACACAGCCAAAATATTATCATTTCAACGTGAAATTGATATAAAACTTATGGCGGTATTTTATGTTCCTTTTGTTCAAACTTTCTTCAAAACCCAATGTATATTTAACACAGCACTTTTCAATCCAGATTAGCCACATTTCAAGTGCTCACTAAGCCACATATGACTAAGAGCACTGTGTAGTTGTTGTTAGCAACTTTTCTAGAGCCTTCTTGACATGGGCTTAGATCCAAAAGACTCAGGACCTTTTGATTAGTCAAGAACCACTAAACGATCATCACCTTTCTAACAAAGTTTCTCTTATCCGTCCTCATATTTTCATGTTTGTGATGTACACTGATCCCCATAAAACCCAGAAACTACTGATTCTACTTTAGTTTTTACTATCAAATTGAAAAACTAAAAAAAAACATAGATCAGCACTATATAAAAATAATACTAGGAGATATTAAATGTTAAGTAGTAAAATAACAAGACTATGAGAACTGCCCTCCCCCCAAAAAATCTCTTCAGAGATTTTTGCCTTATACAGAGTTCTGGATGCTGGTATAAAATGAATAACATTTTAATAAGTAGCACATAGAAGCAGCTAATTTTGCAATAAAGATATAAAACTCAGCCACACTACAAATGTTTCCTATTGAAAATTTTTAAGTCAAAAAGTATGTACTGTTACAATAATGAACAAAACAGTGTTAACATTTGTCTCAGTATGACTCAACTTTACACAGGTTTCTTTCTGTCTCTTAGGCCCCAGACATCCCTCTTCTTAGAGCTCTTACTTTAGAAAACCTGTAAATTCTTTCTCTGCCTCCTTGAGATATAAGTCATTTAAGAAGCTTCTTGCAAGTTTTACAACCCAGGAAGATCTTCCTCCCAGACCTAGGAGCCATCCCATTGAAATGTAATCATCAAGGAAGTAAATGTCCCTATCTCCCAGTTTCTATGGGGGGTAGGAGCCTCATGTTGATGGGTGCCAATCAGAAAGCAAGAATGGCCCAATCACTGAGAAAAACATTTACAAAATCAGGGGTAACTGAATGGGCTCATTATATCACATAGATCAACCTTCCTCCAAAACTCCTTCAGTACTTTTCTACTAGCTCACCCCAGTGCTTAAAAACCCTCTTGCCTCTTGTTCTTCAGAGGAGTTGATTTCAGACTGCATTCTGGTCTCCCTCCCCTATTGCAATATTGCCTTGGACAAAGTCTTCCTTATCTGCTTAACTTTGTCCAGTATAATTTTTGCTTTGACAGTTCAAATACCTTGAATAGGTCACTACCATCAACTTCATGGCCAGGAGTCAAATCAACCAGAATCCAGAGCATTAGTGCACAATCCTCAGCTGAGCTGGAACAATCCATCAATACTAATGGATCCATAAAGGGAAGGGAACATGTTCAGGCCAATCATTACTCTCTCGTTCACCCCCAATAAGGAGATTATATCTTTCATATAATTGACCATGGCTTTTATTAAGTGGAGGGCTTTTTTTAAATATATTCTCTCTGAAGCTTACAACTACTTTTAAGATCAATGAAAGCTTTATCTGCAGAGTAAGTCCACAAGGAACAGAGAAACGAGCTTCCTGCCCTCAAAGAAAGTCTTCTCTGCATTTCTTAAAGAATGTCTCATCTTAAAATAAAACCATAGGAAAAGAAAATACACTTAAGAAAGCTGGGGCTGAAATGCCTACACAGTCAAAATGTTTGTCCAAATAAATACAGAGGCCTGATTGCTTTCTTCCCAACCTTCCTTTTCTTATCTGATTAAAAATTGAATGTCCAATAATTCTTTCTCAGCATAACTACACAAGAATAATCAAATCTATTGAGTGAGACCTCACAAGTCTTCAGGGTTAAAATGATTGCCAAGTGCTTTTGATCTGGGCCATAACCACCAGATTAATGTCCAGCTCGCCTATAATCATTTCTCCAAATGAGAGGGAGCAGAGGGCAAAGCTCCCACCCATTATTTCAAAACTTTGACGGTTTTTCTCCTTGTTTTAGAAATATGGGACAGAATTAATATCTACTGCAGTAAACTATCTATTTATGACACTATTTGAAAATATTTACACTACTATATGTATCAGAGTCTGCCCATTATAGATTAAATGTACAACCAATGGATTAGAATGTAGCTATTACAGCCTTTCTCCTAAGCCAGCCATACAATTTATCTTCATGCTCTTCAGAATTATTATTTACTCTGTTTTACAGATGCATTCGTAATATTTTTTTCCCTTAATCTGCACGTGGTAATTAGATTCCTTACCCTTACATACAAATTTTCACTCACATGACAATGCTTAAAAATGAGATACTGGGTTACTAGGTGGAAGTAAACATAAAATTCCTAGTTAGTTATTTGGCTGATTACTTCTGGAATGCTAAACCACGGGAGGTGCCTAAAAAACCCAGTGTTGTAACTTTTGCCAAGTCAGGATTGCAAGGGAAAACCTTAGAAATTGGTCCTATTGTTTCCCTTCTTTGAAATAATTTCCAAATGATCACATAAATAAAAACCAGTTCTTCTCAGTACAAAAAATAAATTTTAAAAAAGCATCCAAGTTCGCAGCCCACACGGCTTTAGCAGTGTTATGTGCACAGCTTATCATTATATTCTCTTCACATAACACTCTTCACTTTTAGATTAATCTGTTGAAATGAGATGCTAAGGATTTGCATACAGATTTGACTATACAAAAATAGATATGGAATTAATAACAGTCTCTATATGTTTTAATTTCTCCTAGACTGGAGTACCCTTGCCTGCAGCAGTATTCCTGGCTTTGAAAGTCATCAAGCTGATTTGTCTGCTCTGGGTTATGATGCCACATGCTGCTATACTGTCCCCTGCAATCAAAGCACTTGCAAAGATAGATTCTATGCCTCCCTCTATCGAGTACATTTTATAGATTGGCAGTTTTGATCTCCCTCCCCCACCCCAGGGGGGGATAATCTGCATCTTAACAGCTTTCTATAGATACATTTGTCATTAAATATGCCATCTCGTATCAGCATCCATTTTTAAAGCCAAGTTTTCCCTAACTTTGAAGTGCCACAGTCGAAGTTAAGACTTTTCAGCCAAAATTGAAAATGAACAGCCCTGTCTCATACTTTTGAACTGTGACTTAAAGATATACTGCAGGTTCCCCCAAAGTCAAATAAGTCTTTAAAAACTGCCAGAAGGAATGAAAAGTTACCACCATGCTACCAGCAATGAGAAATGCTTTCTATCATCAAGACAAGAGTAAAGCATTTTTCTTAAGCTTCCCTGTTCGGCTCCTCACAAAACGTTGTGACAAATGGATGAATGCATACCAGAGAAAGGATGACAGGTGAGTGCCAAACAAGCAACTTTTGCCTCCACTGCTGGAATTCACTGACTCCCAAACTCATTGCGCTCAAAAGCAAGAACTGGTCAAGACTAACAATGTCTACAGAATAGTGTGTTTAGAAAAACAGCTCTTAGTATGCATTGGTCAGGATAGGTCAAGTCTGGTGGCTCTGCTATTTTTTTTTTCAAGGACAGAGAATACATCTGTTGATATAGAGTCCTATACTACACGCTTTAGCAGAAACCTATGGTACATAATACAGCACTGGTACGCTTACGAGGACAGAGCGGACAGAGCGGTACGCTTATGAGGACAGAGCGGGATGCAAAGAACTGAATGTGTCCATGCTGTCAGGAAAGACACTCCAGGCTGGAACTCTGCCAGCCGACTGAGGATTGTGGAAAACCATCTAAGTTCTCTGCTACTCTCCCGGAGGCCTGAAGTGCCCGGCTTTATGCTAGACTAGCGGGTTAGTTTCCGGACAGGATGTGGCATCAACCCCACAGAGGTTCCTTTATGACTCTATCCTTGGGGGGAGGATTTAACACAACCAGGCTCAGGTTCCTCATATGCAAACTA